TGGAAACTCGTGCTCTGCCAGAATTATGCGAGTACAATGACCTCACTAGACTACCATACTTATAAGGTAATCCTTTTCACCAAAGTAAAATACATGGAGCTTCCACAGTCATCGATTCTTTAGATTAAGGAACACCTCCGTCGTTTGTTGACCACGTGCGGCGTAGCTCGAGCACTTGATGCAACGGAAATGTTTGACTATTGCAGCCACAGCCTGGTTGAAATCCTGCTTACTGTTCACCGATATTCACTTAGAGATTTTAAGGCATAAACGTTTTACGGAAAAAATCGATTTAGTGACCATAAAAATTCATTTTACGGTGGTTTCCGCAATCGATGTATGATCCGTTAAGAACAGGAACAGTGAGTGACCTCATTACGCGACACTCCCCGCTGATCAGAAGTGATGGATTAAAAAAGCGAATCTATTCCCATCTTGAAATGAATGGGAAAAAGCTCATCAGGCCCGGCTGCCATTTTGCAACCCATGAATTCAACTTCTTAGTTCTAATTCTCCTCCTGGTTTACATGATACTGTCCAAGGTGTTTCAACTGCAGACGAAAGAGCAACCTCTTTAACACTAAAACAGTTGATTTTCTCTTTTCAGCTATTCAGCTGCTGTCTCGCGTTGTGAATAGTCTATCCACTTCTGTCGCTGAGTGTTTCATTGAGCGGGATACACCAACTCCATTATTTTTTTATGAAACCAAACAGCTTTGGTTAGTCCCTCAGGCGACAGCTACTCCCGTTTCACTAAATAATTTGGCCCACTAGTTCTCACTGTCCTTTCGTGAGACACCGCCTATTCGTGTTTTGATCTTGACCGGTTGGGACACGTTACTTCGTCATAAGAACTAGTGGCTGATAACAAATACGGCATCTTAAACGGACTCCAAGCGCAACGTTCGCTACTCAGTAATTTGCACTTCGAATCTGATCCCATAGTTCAACTCCACAAAGTTGTGGGACTTGTGGCTTGTACCTTATGTTTTCCAGATAACGGACGAAAACGTGTCTGTCAGGCAGACCATGATGACCTAACTGAGGTTTGAGGTTTTTCACGGTGACCAATGTGTCGAAGCATAAAGTGCATCAGGACTAATCTGTGGTCTCACTTGACTCTCTTGGTTCAAAAGGACCCTCAGTTTCATACTAACCATGCTAACGGTAGCTCACTCCTTTGTGATCAATTCGTGCCAGTTTACCCATTGAGGTGGAGCTTTATTGCGAGTTTGTTACCAAACAAAAACCGGTGATCCATGCAGAACTGAAGAAGTTGATCGGTGTTATTCGTTCATAGGGAGGAAAAGGGATAAGAATGAGGCTTCTAAAGCGTTTGGGGTTCCAGTCTATGCACCGAAGTCTCACATCAGCATGAATATAAGGAAGCTTCGGTCGAGTAAGATCAGTTCAATATGCTTTTTTGTGCCTTGGAACTGCAGTTAGTGGGAGCGCATGCTAAGGTAATAAACAGCTTTCGTGTTATTTCCTTTTCGAAAATTAGCTGAACCCCAGAGGCGCATCGCACATCATCATCATACGCTGTACCATGATGGTGATGATGATCGCACACAAGCGACTACTGACGGCAACGCAATCGATAGGTGCGGCTTCACCTCTGTCGTTCATTGCAATATCCACTAAACCCACTGAACAAGTTGCAGTGGCAGTACCAGGAGACATGGAGGGTCTAAACTTTCCAGGTCTCCCTATAAATCGTCACAAGAGCCGGAGGATGACGGACGGGACTCGCCACTGTAGCTCCTTGTCCCGTTCCATCGAATTAACAAGACTTCCCAGAGGAGTCGAATGGACTAAGACACTGACCACCAGCTTGTCTGGATTAATCTTACAGATTGCACTTGGATATCCAAAAATCAAAGACGCAACCTTGAATAAAAAGGTCGAAGGGTATTGGGGACACTGTTTGTGGTGTCAATCGAAATTGTCTCTATGACTCGTCCATTAAGTTAACTTATCCCCTCTAGCAAGAGATTTTCGTGTAAACAAGAAAAACGTTGAACTAAGGCAGCTTACATCTCGTTAAATGTAGTTAATTTTTGCAGTGAGTGGCTGGTGTTTTGATCCAAATGTTTTTATTCTAGGATTCTCTCTTTCACACTAACTTAAACTAGATTTTTTTGTCAACGTAGCAAATCCTTTTTCGTGTTAAAGCATCTCGTTCGTGAAATTTTTTCCGTTTACCCTCTTTCCTTCGTTTTATGTTTTTCAGTTATTTATTCGCCTATAATGTTCCCTGAATATTCAATCGTCTGGTAAAGCCCAATAATCAGCAATTCTTAAATGAACAACAGAACTCCAATAGTGAAATATCACATCTTTTCTATAAATTCTAGTCCCAAAACCATTCCGAAAATATTACAACTCCGCTCTTATTTTTCTCTCACCTCTGTTCAGTTGATTACATCGTCCTACACAGATCTGCAGGATTATACCTACTATTTTGTTACTGCTCCCTGGTTATCGGTGAAGCTATTACGACTGTTGCAGAACTATCCGCCACCCGGTAAGTGTATGCTGTTTCTTGATCAGTGATTTTGTGGCACATTTTTTTTTACCGAATCAGCGATATTGTTTAACGTTATCACATAAATTACACAGGTCGAATCCTTTGTGAACCATTTTTTTTAGATGTATTTGTCCACCCCTATTGCTTAAGTACTATTAATGAAACACCCAAAACTAAATGTAATGGTCCGTAATGAAGTAATGACACTTGAGTTATCTCATAGTTTCTTATACTGTGAGCGTACAAAAAGAACCCCGAAGAAAATGGAATTATGAATCTGTTAACTTGATTTTACGTTTCTTCAGCATATCAAACAAATCGTAGGACTTTCTCTCTCCCTTTCTATATAGCATAGCATCTATATCCGGTAGGCATTTCTGTTCTTTACAAAACAAAGTTTAATGTCTGCTCGTTCGTATGAACAGATGGTACATAGACTAACTCTTTGTGTTCCGCGGCTTACACAGTCACTGTATCCGAAACGGCTTTTCATCATCAGATGGCAGTTAGTTCCATCATCGTAGGTGTCCTTCCATAAGTAACGGATAACCTGCGGTTCAGTCTACCTCCTTGGTTTCAAATTGCCCAGGATTTCCGGGCTTAGGTTGTGGTATTCGCAATTGGGTTCTCTTTGGCAGACAAGTAAGTCACATTTTCCATTGGTCGTCAAATCGAACGAAGCAGGTAACCCATGGTTACTAAAACCGCAAATATCAGTTGCTTTTATGGATGAACGATTTTGGGGAGTGGAACATGAATTTTCTTACTCGAGGCGAATATCGTGTATTTGATTACAAAATAGAGCAGATGGTCGGTGACCTGTTTAGTATACGGAGCGGCTGGAGCAACACTTCAATATTCACGACTATAACTGAATTGAAGAATCACTGGCAACTAGCTCGTCTAGAGGACTTGAAACATGCCGGTCCCAACTTTCATGGCGCGGTTTATGAAATGACAACAAGATTCCTGGATATACAGTTTTAGGCTGTCTTTGGTGTCGGGATATGTTGGGCATCGCGAAGGTAGATGCCTCGTTCGAACTTTACCTGTTTCCTTGACGAAACAGTGGTTTATTTCATTTGTGGGGTTTATTCCCGTTCATCCTACTATGATGCTTGGTTAAAGAACACTCAACATCTTTTTGAAGTCCACAAAACTCCGTAACTGGTTTGTTGTGACGTTGAAGAAGGTAACAGCAAACTGACAGTAATGGCTTTCCTGTTGTTATTTTTCATCATAGCAAAATGTTTGAAGGTGTGGTGTGCACTAGACTATTTACCCCGTGTGTTGCCCACATAGGTTCACTTTCCCTTCCTCGATATCAGGACCAATCCATATCCACTTTTCGCACTCCTACTTGCCTTGTGTACATTGCTAGTTTGTCAGCGGTTAGTGAAGTTCCTTTCTGTGTATTTCGCCGCACGATGGTGTTGGTGATGATCTGCATGCATGTGTACGTTGCAGTTAGACACTCGGCCAAGGTTGCAGGTATTTACGTCTGGCGAATGCCAATAGAGCCTCGTGAATGTTTCATTCAGTTTGGTTCTGTCCTTCTCCATTATTCATTTACGACAGGAGCTTTGAACAAACCTTGTCATATTTTACTATCCTTTGCATGGTTTCACAATGGATCTCCTCTTGACTGAGTTCGTGAAAGGCAAAAAACGAAGTAATTACATAATGCTCTAAGTTTGAACTGTATCAACTCGATCAGATCCTTACATGTAATACTACAACCAATGGGAATATCTACGTTTGTTATGAAATACCCAAAAGTTGAATAAACTTGGTTCACGTGATATTAAAAGGGTACCATCCTGCTTTACCGTTTCATAAAAAATGACGAACCGGTCATATCCACTTGCAGTCATGTGTATCCCAAAAGCTTTTTCGCGGTTTCTTCCTCCGGCACTAAACTAAAACAACCGTTAAAAACACATTGAACTCATCTCTTTTCTTTCCATGATTCTGTTGTGTTGTTCGAAGAGTTGCATATATCCTTACGGCAGTACTTGTTATCCTCAGTTGACCGAACAAAGTCGGCCGAATCCCGCCCTTTAGTTAGAGGTGTGAACTCCCGTTGGACCATCGATGTCTTTCAACCTGTGTGAAACCAATTCGCATACGTATGCGATGACAAATCGTGAGATTCGCTCTCGGGTGTTGTTCCTCGTTCGCATGCACACACTTCGTGAAAGTGGTTTCTTTGCCAAGTAATGTAATCTGACTATGCTAATCAACTGACACATTTGTCAACCAGCTTGACTATTCTTGCTAATGGAATCCAGGACCTAAAGCTTTGTCATCAATTTGATTGTTACTTATAATTTTTTCTGTGAACAAAACAAGTAAGGGGATTTATTCTACCGTATCATCTTCAGCCACTTGTGATGTATCCCAGCGAGGTCAGTCTTGAGTGTGCTAAAGTCCGTGTTTACACAGTTGTTTATTCCACGTCGAAATTGGATCCGATTAAGTCATATATATATATATATATATATATATAAACATTAACACCATTCTTTACAGATACGGCGCCAAAAATAACCATAGGTGAACAACAAAATATAGGTACAAAAGGGGATAATAAAACAGTCAACTTCGCGGAGTGACATTTTTTGTTTGTTTACTGCACGCCATTTTGATTTTTTTTCGTTTTTGTTTATTTTTGGGATTGTAGACGGGAGGTAATGCATTTGCGCCACTGACTTTGGTTCGATGCCATATCCCGCAGTGTCTCCAGCTAAAGACGATCTGAATCTTTGGGGCGCAAGCCGAAGAGCCGAGAAACCCCAACGTAAGCCAGATCCGAGCACAATCTCTCCAACCCTCTGCGCCACGTCATAGCCTGCCCACCTCGTTGCTTCTTTCAGCCTGGGCCGACGTCTGCGAGTAGTGCACGGTGTGGCAGACGGTGCCCAGGCATTCGTTGGACGTGTCCTAGCCACCTAAGGCGATGATGTGAAATTATTTTGCCCAAAGGAAGACTATCTGGTCCCAGCACCCGTCGTCTGACTTCATCGTTATTCACGCGGTGCTCCCACCATACGCGGGCGATGTTTGATCAGACACCGGTTGTCGAAGACTGATAGCTGCTGGACGTGATCTGCTCGGAGATGCCAGGTCTCGCAGCCATAGAGCAACACGGTGCGTACCGTTGCGCAATACACACGTCCTTTCAGTGAAAGAGATATATCGCGCCGGCACCAGAGATGCCGCAGATTAGCGAACGCTAATCTAGCTTCGATCACGCGTTGAGAGATCTCCTCGCCCACACCTCCGCCAGCTGTTATGCAACTCCCAAGGTAGACAAAGCTTTCGACCACTTCCAGAGTGTCATTATCCAATGAAAGTGCAGGGATGGGTTCCTGCCAGTCTTGCAACAATACTTTGCACTTTGAGGGTGCAAATGACACACCATAACGAGTAACCTCAATTGCCAAACGGTTCAACGACTCTTGAATCGTTGGTGCGTTGTCAACCAGTAAGGCAATATCATCGGCGTACTCTAAGTCTACGATTCTGTCCCCAGGAAGAAGCTCGACGCCAGCACTCACTGCGTTATGCAACGGGTTTTGTAGGACATCATCTATGGCAAAGTTGAAGAGAAACGGAGAGATAGGGCAACCCTGTCGTACCCCACTAGTGACAGGAAATGAGGGTGAAAATTCACCATAGGCCCTAACCGTCCCCGAGGTCTGGTGGTAGAGCGTTTTTAGGAGTGAGACATACTTCTCGGGTACTCCGTATCTCTGCAAACAGTTCTATAGTGCGGGGCAATCGATAGAGTCGAAAGCCGCTCTGATGTCTCAGAACACAACAATGGTTTGTCGTCTGTATGTGTGGCGGTGTTCTAGTAGCTGACGGAGGGTGAAGATTTGACCTATGCATCCACGGCGTGCACGAAACCCAGCCTGCTCCTCGCGGATTTGCTTCTCACTCAATGGGCATAACCTGCGTAATAAAACGGACGCTAGCAGCTTCGGCGCTATTGGAATCAAACTTATGCCCCTGTGGTTGGAACAGGCGTTGCGACAGCCCTTCTTGTAGATGGGTGTGACAATCGATTCTCCCCATATGTGGGGTAGACTTTCAGTTTCCCAGATATTCGAGAACAGTCTCACAAGTTCGCTTACGAGAGCATCTCCACCATCTATAAAGAGAGCAGGTGGCAGGCCATCTGATCCAGCTGCCTTGTGGCGTTTCAGGGTTTGGAGTTCCTTTCGGATCTCCGCCTCTGTGGGCGGTCCCGTGACTAGTGGCCAGGGTGCACTTTCAAGAGAGCTGCTTGGGGTAACCAGCGCGAGGGGCTGGTTGAACTGCGATGTGAAGTGCTCCACCCAGCGTTCCAATCATCGGTGAAGGCTGTTTATTAACATGCCGTCTACTTCTGTCGTCTCTTAAACTCTTTGTGAGTTTACGCTTCAAGGAAAGGCGCTGTTCATTGAACTCATGGTCTGCCGGGATTGCCCGACGCGCGTCGAGGAGTCTGAGAGAGTTGGCGGAGACCCAGTGATTTACAACTCGGCGGATTAGGCCACAACTGTGTAAACCGGCTGAGTGCAATGCGTTTCGGATGGTTGCCCAGTGTTGAT